GTGGTGGTGGTGGTGGGGGGGGTTTGTGTTGAAAAGAAAAATGCTGCCAGACAACATCTTAGGGCGAAAGATAGAGAGTGGAAGCCCAAGAACAAGATGGGGACAGAGTGGAAGGAGATGGAGAGGCAGTGCGGTAAAGCAGGAGGGAGCGTCGGGGAGCAGAGAGGGAATGAGACAGTAATGGTAGTCGACAGAGTTGGGTTCACAACAGGTTCATAGTGACATCATGGTTGAATTTTGGGGAACATTTATATAGGAAAGATTATTTGCGTTTCATTGGATGCACATGTACACCCCCAACTTACTTTTTCTTTCCCGTCCTCTTTCGTTCTTTCTTTCTTTCTTTCTTTCTTTCTTTCTCCCCGTAGCCACAAACACTAATCGTTGCCACCAAAAATGCTAATTTGCCCTGGCGCTTTATAATACATTTTCGGTCGTGTTAAAGTGAATTTGTATGTTTTTGTGTACTCATATGGTTTACCCAGATTTCGCCTGTGTTTAAAAAAACTCCCTCATCTCTCAGGTTGTGCGTTAAACTTTATAACCCCAAACTGACAACTGCTACCCAGAGTGTCACTCTTTTTTCTTTCTCTCTCTTGCTTTCTTCCCCTAGTCCTCATTTTCTTTCCTCCTTTGCTCCCTCTTTTTTTTGCCTGCAAGTCTAGCCAACCCTCACCACTGGTACAGTATGTTCTTTGTGTGCATGTTTAGCTGTTTGAGAGACAGAAAAGACATAAAGGAGCCTTGGGACCCGAAAACGTGTTTATGGTGTATGTGTGGGTGTGATTATATTTGTGTCAGCTTTTTTTCTTGCTTGAAGAAAATTAACAGCAGGGAGTTGTGGCGTATTAAAGGTTCTTTGTGTCTTGTGCATGTGTAATTTATTTTGGTGCCAGTGTTTATTAGTTTGTGGGCATTTGGAAGCCTTAAGATGAGTGTAACTCTGTCTTTTGCCTTCACGCATGTATGCTTGTATGTTTGTGTGTGCCCAAGCAAGTGAGTAAGCTTGTCATGCATGCCTGTCATCCTCTGCATGCCTCTCTGTGCACCACAGAGCTTCACATGACATCAATCTGAGAGCAGTGGGATAGTGATCTCATTACCAACAGCCTGTTGCTGATTAAAACCTGCCGTCTGCACCCTCCTCCTTCACCCTTTCTTTTCTTCTCCCTCCTCTCCGCTCTCTTCTGCTTCCTTGTCCTTTGCTCGCTCCCCCCCCATGCCTCCTCTACCCCTCAACTCCAGTCGCACCATTCTGCGGTTTCTCCACTGCTCGCTGCCAAGAAGGGCCCCATTTCAAGCTCTGCAAAAAGTTACAGCTCCCCTCTTTTTTCCTTTTCAGTTTTCCTCCTTTGTTTCTTTGTTCCTTCTTCTTTGCTGTGCATCTTTAGGCTGTCTGTATCAGAAGTACCTTACCTGCAGGCCTCATCGAAACCCTTCTCATGTTCCTAATCTTCTAACTGAGTCAATCTGCTTTGACACTAAACAAGGACAAAAGTGGGGGATATGAGAGTGTCTGTTAATGTGAGTGTATGTCTGTGAATGTGTGTGTGTGTGTGCGCATGTATCAACATGTGGACGCATGTGCTTATTAGTGCCTCATAGATTTACAGTCAGAAATACAAATGTTTCTTTCACACTCAGCCAGACGTTATACACTCCCCTCCTCTTTGCGCATTTCACTGACACAGAAACACAAACAGAACTAACCTTTCACCTCCCTCACCGACACTGTTGCTGAAAAGTGTGGCAGCAACCCAGATGGTCAAAGCAGTGAGCCTGTAATTGGACTGTGCCCAGTTCCATGTTTGTGACCCAAGTGATCAAAACATTAGATCCAAGTCAGAATAACAGAAAATGCTGACAAAGGCTTAATGTAGACATTAAATAATGTGTTTATGTTAATATACTTTTTAGTTTTGTTATGTAATGTAACCATTCAGTAGTGTATCAGTTAAAATGGCAATCATTATTATTTCCCTTACGTACAAAATAAAGGTGGTAAGGTAGGCAACTACAGAAAAAAAAAACTTACATAAAAATGTATATTAAGTCCCATACAAACAAAATCCATTCCAGATATATCTTTTATTCTTTTTTTTGACTATTGAAAACACACTTTATATCACCACAGATGACTATTATTCATTTATCCATTCTTCCCTCACCATGTGGCTTAGGTCTGTTGAATCTATGTCATGTATGAAAGGAACCCATGAAAAGGTCTCTACAAATGGTGGTATAAATTTCACAGAAGTCTACTGCCAGCATGTTTTGTATATTTTACTCATAAAATTACGTTTATGATGTTTTACTCAATTACTTAATTAATCAAAGCTAATACAAGGCTGTTGCCATTTCTTTGGTAATTTTAGGATAAACTGTACGGACAATGTACTAGCTATTTCTGATGATTTTATAACTTGTGTTGAGGACTGAAATATAGTTATTTAATTCTTTACAACCTTTTTTTATTCACAAAAACATGACTCATATAAACAATAAACCCAACAAAAAACAGACATCAGAAACAATAGTAACTCCATCACAACTAACCAAAATACAAACCAAACCCATCCAACTTGAAAAACACAGACCGACATAATAAATATCATAATTTATTACAACCATTCAAATTGACAGTAAAAAGAAAATTTGGTGAAAAAAAGGTGACCTGCGCTGAGTGTTGCTGTCATGGATCGGGCTGAGGCCAGTCAGTCAGACAGTAGCAGACAGTTTTATCTCTGACATGAAGAGGCAGGTAACTCTGCCCCTCAGGGGCCGACTGGCCAGGTTTGATCTCATCACGGATCAAATGTATCTCCATTAAATGCTTCCTTACCAGAAAACCTCTGGGTTGATTTGCTTAGGAAAATCCTGTAGGAGGAGAAGAGTCCGCTTGAACTGATTTAAAGGTGCGGAAACCGCCAGGAGAATGGCCCTTTGTACTTCTCAGGCTAGGAAAGATGGAAAACAGCTCATGGTAGTTTGCATTTTGGAGATTTAATAAAGTCATCTAACGTATATACCAGGCTCTGTATGATTTTCAGAGACGATATCTCTACTGTAAATCAAACACACTTTTCTTATTTGTAGCACTTCAGATGTATTGTACATTTAACAGTAGCTGTAGTTCACTTTACTGTAAACAAGTTTAAGTTGTTTATATGTGATTAGTCTGTCCAGATTGACTCAGTGTTTGCATTTACAATAATCAGTTTGTTACATTTTTAATACCAATCACACTAGTACGTTTTTAATACACATTTTTAATACCAATCACACTAGTAACGCTAAACGGTGCATTTCCAGTTTTTAAGTTATTGTTTTTATTGCTCTGAGTCATAAGGACACTGATGCTGAGATGCTCTATTTTTCTCCCATCTGGGATATGTAGTCACAATAACGCACTTAGTGGCCCTTGATTGGCCTCAGGCCCCTGGACTCCCACATTAGCTGGCCAGGGTCCCGAAGTCAAGGCATTGTAAACATGGAGTGAAAGCCAAGGGCTGATACCGATATCCCCAAAGGTGTGCAGCCCTCTGCAGCATGTGTGTTTGTGTATGCCTGTGAGTTAATGACTGTTTCATTAGTACGAGTGTGCGTACACACATGCATGCACTGCTCTCCTGTGTGTGTTAGTGTGGGCCCTATCTTTGGACGGTGAGCAGAGGAGGAACAAATTTAGAAATGCAAAACAAACACTCACAGAGTTGAAATCCAACAAAAGAGTGTTGACTGAAAGTACAGTGTAGAAGGAGTGGAGGTAAAGAGAGAGAGAGACTGTGAGACAAAGGAAGAGAGAGAGAGAGAAAGAGAGAGGGAAAGAGAGGGGGTGGGCAGCAAGTTGAAACCTAAGCTTTCTGGACCCTGTTTTCCCTTCCTTCGGGCATTCTGTGGCTGGTAAAAAATGTGCTGTATATTTGAAGTGTTGGATCACGTGACAAAGGCAGGGTTTGTGAATCAAAGTACACAATGATTTCAGGAGGAGAGAGAGAGAGACAGAGAGAGAGGGTGTGTGTTAGAGAGAGAGAGAGAGAGAAAGAGAGAGAGAGAGAAAGAGAAAGAGAGAGAGAGAGAGACGGGAAAAGGAGAGGGAGCCGGAATGCAACAGGCTGAGCTGTATCGTCGCCACGAGAGAGACTTCTGACTGACAAACACAACTACTACGCCGCCTCTCAGCTCATTTCTCCACTGACTTACCCTCTCTAACCGCCAGACTGTGTGCTGAGTTATCAACTTACCAGGTTTGGTAAGTTTGGTTTTCAATCCCATTTTCTAAGATCTTCTTTTTCTTATGACTTCAGTCTGTTGTCGGAGTGTGAGAAAAGAAGACAGACAGAGGACATGTCAGAGCATGAGCGTGATGTGTGTGTGTTTGTGGGACAGCATGAGCACAGAGATTGAGTTTCCTGAGGACAGCTTTAATTGAGAACAGAGATTTTGAGAGAGGGAGAAAGAACAACAGAAACTGCTAAGGAGGGGAACGAAAGCTGATCAGCACTTGCATGTGCTCCGGGGCCGCTCCATCGCTTGTGGTGATGTGTGTGTGCGCCTGTGCCCTCATTTGTTTGCCCCATTGATGGATGCACATTTCTGTGTTTATTCCTGACTTCATAAACTCTGATTCACAGTTGCTGAAAGATTGTGATCATCCTCTACACAGAAAAAGAAAGGGAAATGTGTTTGGTTAAAAAAAAATAGATGTTAGAATTTCTTAAATTCTTAAACAATGTCATAAATAAAAGAAGAAGTTACCATAAAACACATTACATCATATTTTCTACTGCTGCATACATCAGTCTTGGTCAGTGTGAGTCCTACAGGTGAGCTCTGCAACCATCTCAGGCCATTTTCCAGCAGCAGACAAAGTGGCTGCCTGAGCCTGCAGGCGCCCAGCCAATAGACCGGCTGTCAGACTTGATGGATCACTCCATCAACATCACAAATGGCTGAGTAGGTCTGGTCTACCTGAGTATGTACATACATACCCCCCCACCCCCCCCACCCCCAC